GTCTCTGCCTATGCCGCTGCCTCTTGCCTCTGCTTGAGGTACCTGCACATGCACACTTGCCCTGCACTTTCCATCCGCCTAGCTTCCGTGCTTCCCTAGGACTTGGACTTGGGCTCGGCCTCTGGCTTGTTGGTTCCTCTCTGGCTTTGCATGACTGCACAGACACGGGCAAAGATCTTACTTTCCTTCCTTCAATGATCCAACCCTAAGGCCTGGCAAGCCTGGGCTGCTCCTGGGATATCTGAATCCCCAGGCCGGCTTTACGAATGGAGAGGGTTTGATCAGTCTGGATCTTCGTTGAGTCCCCGCTGTGGCCAATGTTGGCATTCAAGGCCAGGTTCCAGGACAAGAAGCCCCTCGAGCCCCTTAGGTAGTGTAGGTACAGTAGTGGGAGGCAAATCAACAGCGGCGTGCCAGGTTGAGGGGGATAGTGGAGGAAGGAAGGAAGGAAGGAAGGAAGGAAGGAAGGAAGGAAGGAAGGAGGGGGGTAGGTGGGGAGGGGTGCAAAACTGGCCAGTAGAGCAGGAAACTCTTGCTGGCTCTTGCTCCTTTCCCGGCAAGTACTGTACCTATTGCACAGATAGACGTACCGACCTGTGGGCTTTGCTCGCCTCGTGGGCATCCGAGGTTGAGATACCGAGACCCTCCGGGTTGCATTCTTCGAGTGTAGCGCGCCTTCTCAGTGCGTCCTTTGCCTCCCACCAACGACACAAGCCACCTCTGAGTAGATATTTGCAACTCACCGCCTTTACGTTCATACAGGAAGTTTGCAGCCGGGCTCCATCGGCAGTTGTGGTGGTCCGCCGGTGGCATCGTCTGATCCGCACATTACCCAAACCATTTCGGGCTGTGTTGCAACCTTTCTCACTCTTGCCCTGGAGGACCTTCGAGCGTGAGATAGCCTTCTGCCGCGACCTGAATGGGGCATATCTTGCGCAAGGAAATGATATGCGTAGCAACGCCAGCCTGTCAGTGTGTCAGACAGACAGACTTGGGGCCTGCGCACCGTCCAAGACATTGTCGTCAAAGTCCAAGTTGATTCGCCATCTCGCCTGCACGAGGCGTCTTGCCGCTCCCGTGGCCGCTGCCGTGTCACTGCTGACGTCCTGTAGCTGTCCTGTAGCAGAGACAGATGATCCAGGCCGTCGATTGGGCGCGTTTTGGGCAACGGTTGGTCACCCGTCCGCCCCCCTCCCTCCCCCGGGCAGGCGTTCAAGGCGTGTCTGGCACTTAGCGGCGTTCGTTCGTGTGCATGTGAAGATGGCGCTTGTTCGGGGCGAGATTCAGATCGGACATGCTCCAGGCGCATACGGAGGTGCGGCTGGATAGTTGAGGGCGAGTCAGACTGACATCCAGTACTTTTACAACCACGAATCACCGAGTACAGTATCCGTAGTTGTCAGTCAAGTTGCTACCTAGGTAGCTAGCTTGTGCTCCCACTGTGACAGCGCAGTCCTAGTCGTTCCGCCGGTTTCCTCCGACCGCTTAGCGATAGGCAACGCCGCCATCAGGAGACATCGGTCGATAATGGTATGTCCTCAATATATGTATACGGTGAAGAATAGGTCTATGCCGCATTCGACCAGGGAGGAAGCATTGTGATTTCCAATGAGTTCACGGGATTCAGGAGCCATTGGGGGTATGGATAGGTAGGTATATGGATACAGAGTGACGGACAACATAGAGGAGCGACGATACGTACCTGAATTCCCCACGCTCGCTAGAAGGGTCCTGCAGGGGTGAAAGAGGAAAACCATAGTACGTACCGAAACCCCATGAATAGAGCCACAGAAGCCTTGCAATTGGACGACGAAGTCTCCGTCCCACTTGTACCCGACCAATCGGGAGCAGAGCATTACCGTCGACACGGTTAGCCGAGTAAGGGGGATCTTAATTGACGCCCCGTAGTCCGACTACGACGACGTAGCCAAACAGTCAAATGGGATGCACCTGCCCGTCAGCAACACGATTCTTGAATCGCATTATGTTCAAGTGTACGGATACCCCATGATGCCACCGCGTGTGGGAGGCAGCAATGGTGTACCGACTCGGGCAAAACCGCGAGACACTGGATGAAACGGCTACGGCAAAGAGCCTGGGTTGAGTCGCGCGCAAAGTCCCTGAAACAAGACGAGGTGGGCACGCCGTGTTTTCTGGAAGCATTGGTGGCATTCCAAGGTCCCGGTTTTTCTGTTGCAACGCGGTTATCGTTTACGCTCCCTTATTTTTCTCCCCCCTACCTACTCTATCCCACACATACACACTCTCTTGTTCTGCTGCTTGAAATTTTCTGTTGGGGTGAGGATTTGTTGAGATGGTTGCTGGACAGGGCAGGCCTTGTCGCGACATAAGAGCTTCATTGGTACGTACTACATCCCTTCCCACCCCACCCACCCCCACCTGCCCACTCAGATGGATGCAAAGGCCTGGTCTGTGCCATCGCATCTTCATTGCTGCTGCTCCGCTGCCAGGGATACCTACCTCGGGAAGCGCACGATGGTCGATGAAAGGTTTCGTGGGTTGGGAAAACAACCGCTCCTGTTCATTCTTCCGACCAGCAGTTCGACTCCTCGTGGAGCATTTGCACGATGCCATCCCAGTATCGGAGGCCATCGAGATCCTCGAGGTCCAATCAAACCACCACAGGGTTTACTGGCAAGCTCTTTTTGCTGGCAAATGCACTTCTGCCTGCTTGCACCTAGCTTGCAAATATCACATGGTATTTTTTGGGAGAGGGGTTTCTTGTCTCCAACGCGCAAATCAACCGTCGTAGTAAGGCGAACTCAGCATGGTAGACCTGGGACGACGACGTGTTCGTGGAATGCTGGATGCCACAGCCGGCAGCCTTCTTCATCATCCCCATCCACATCATCATCATGGTAATCCTTCACATCATCTCCGCCCTCGTCATGCTGTTGTCTTGCCCGCTGTTCATCCCACTGCTCCCGAAGCATGTTCTTACGGACAAATAGAAGAGTCTTTCACATGTGATTCGGGTGTATTCACTGAGGGGGACGAGGGGCCATCGAGAGAGGCTGCTGTCTCAAAGTCGCAACGCCTCCGTCCGTCCACCCCTTGCTAGCACCGACACTGCTTGGCTTTTCCAAGCAAATAGGGAACAGGTATCATTGGCGCCTTGCTAACACCTCCCCGTCTCGGGCAAGTCTCCTGCGAGTCAACGCACCAAACAGGACTCGATTCTGTAAATCACCAGACCAGCGGCTGAAGACGGAACTCATTCCTCCGCCAAGCATTTGCCTCGAGGGGTTACTAGCCAGCTTACCTACGCCTCCCCGGGGAGGATGGGGAGGAGGAGGGCTTGAGTTGGGCTGGGTGGCGGTAGCACCGCTCATACGCTACTGGCCCACGGCTTGCCTACGCCTTGTAGGGCTTTCAGTAGACGAGGACGAGGACGAGGACAATGTGTGACCGTCACTCAGTGTCGAACGAGAACGGCGCAAGGCTGGGAGCCTAGCAGTTGTCAACACGTGCAACAGGAGACGATGACGAATGTAACTGTCATGGTGTCACTAAAACAGAGAAGTGTTGGGGTCCAAGCAGAAGCGCACAAATCTCTCCCAGCCGTCGCGCGGAAGGCAAAAGGCGGGAGATTCCATCAACTCTTAGATGGGAGATCCTATCCAAAGACGGTTGGCTTTGCCGCGAGTTGCCACTGCCAGAATCGTGATCTTGCATTCGACTCTGATGCGCCTCCCTCGCCCCCCAAGTCACCGCCGGGAAACATAGCAACCACCCACGAACGGTTCCAGGTTTCCCGTCCGCCAACTGCACATGTGCCAGATGCCAGATGTTGGCTTTGGAAAAGACGGTCAAGTGGCTTACTCGTATATCGACGATATTTGGCCGCTATTGTCCTCGGCACGTGCATTCGAGCCTCGCGTTGTGTAGCTAGTGGTCAGACCTTCAAGCTTACTCCGCTTGAGAACTATCAAAGCTACGACCGCGGTTTCCGCTGGCATCTCTCTTTCTCTCTCTTCTTGAGTCTCAACAGCGTTCACAACACAGAGATCACCGTGGTGGCTGCGTACGGGAACGCAAGTGTTTGTGGCGCGCCCCAACCTCGCATCTACGCCGCAAACCTGTCGATTCCTACGGTAGTCTCCCAAGTCCGCCCTTGAAAGGAAAGATGTTGTGAGAATCAACCCGCCTCGTCGTTCCTAGCGTGGGGAAACAAGGCGAGCAGTCCCCCCTTCTCCGCCACAAATGTTAGCCCAACTTTGGCTACAGTCCTCGACCAAACTGTCACTGCATGCAATGTCCACCTTGTTCATTGCAACTGAGACACCCAACAGCCCGACCCCGCGTCTCACCAAAAGTCTTCCCTCATACCACCAGACACGTCAGGAAGGCAGCTGGTACGTCCCGCGCTGTCTCTCCACTCGACCGATCGGTATTAAGGTCGGGCAGCGGGCCGAGAACAGACCGGCGCGGGAGGCGCGTTGCACGGTAACAATACCCAGAGAGGATATACAGGGAGAGGGGAGGGGGCATCGTCAGCCGGTCCAATTCCTTGCTACCGTTTTGTCGCTGACGGGGACCGAAGTTCCCGCTGTCTGTGGGTTGTGTAACCTACGCGGGCCAACGGCTGCCAGCGCGTCATATCAAGTCTGCTTTGCTCACAATCTGAAGTGCTTCACATCTGACCATTCGGTGTCTAGGTGGGCCGTGAACAAAGCCGAACGTGTGTATGTGAAGACGTGGCGGCCGTTTTCGTGAGCAAGATAGCATGGAAGAGCGCTCATACCGGACACAAAGTGGTCATAGGTCACGTCTTTGGGCTGCTTCAAGAAGCGAGATTTATGCGCAAAAATGCAACCGTTGTTCATGTCGTAGGCTATCCTTACGGCAATCAACTAACCAAGTCATGCCGAGGTAGTCTAGCAGTCGTTACCGCCAACGCCAGTACCATGCCAATGCGAACATCGAGACCATGTCTATCCTCTTACTTGGAGAGGAGGTCCAGCAGAAAAGGGGGTATATCAAGCCACCGAAAACCCAAGCTCCTCCCTCGCATCATCCACGACCCGCCCCCATTCCAGCAACAGCCGGAACATGTACACCCTCATATCTTCTCTCCTCAGCGCTTTCGCCGCCCACGCCCGCCCCTCCTCCGCAATCTCCCGCGCCCTTTGCCTCCCCTCATCATCGGTTCCAAAGTACTGCAGAAGGCCCCTGAGCTCGTGCAGCCGCACGTCGACGGGGACGTAGTGCCGCCACGAGTGTACCCGCTCCTCGAACCACGTCCGGAACAGCCCGGCGCGGTAGACGAGGCTGCGGCTCCGCAGGAAGGGGATGAAGCGCCCGCTGAACCCGGCGCCGTCGAGGTCCATCAGGTGCGCGTACTTCCAGTGCTTGGCAAAGGCGACCGTGTCCTTGGGGGACGAGTGCGCGCCAACGCCCCAGAAGGTGTCTCTTTGGCTTTGGCAGTCGTTGCTGTGGCATTTCGCAAAGTCGCCCACGAAGCCCACGTCAAAATCGACCTCGTCTTCAGGGGTTCGAAAGGCCGGTTGCTCTTCTTGTCGGAACTTGGAGACGCTCTGTATCGCGTTCGCAACCTGGACGAACCGTGCTCTGAGGAACCCCTGCCACGCGCCCCTTGCCGCGTACCCGTCCGACGACGATCCCCTCCAGAACATTGTTTTCTTCTTCCACTCCCACTCGACGTCCTCATCCTGGTTGTACGGCGCCTTGTCGTCGTAGTTCCAGGGCGACGGAATCATAATATCCTGGAAGGCGGACGTCCTGCTCTGGCTGAATACGGGAAACGGCTCCTTGGTGAAGATGGCCGGCGCGGGAGACATCAGGAACCCGTGTAGGTATGCCAAGTCTGGCTGGTGGCAGAGGTCTGTGGCCGCGGTCCAGTTGGAGACCACTGGGTTCTCGAGACCCTCGAACACGCGGATTCCGTGCGGGAGGAGATATTCTTCGCATGCTTCTTTTCGGCTCCACCAACGTTCGTTCCGGGCAGGACAGTCGGGCGGGCAGGAGGGGGCGATGAATTCGTAGTAGATCTGGTCTCGGATACGGTCTTGGAAGTGCGGAGACCGCTCACGTGGCGATCCGGTGGTGTCGTCGTCGCTCCAGACCGGCGACTTGGAGCTGTCAAACGGCTTGAGCTTGTTCTGTTGCAGTAGCCTCGCTCTAGCCTTGGCGGCCGTGGTATGCAGTTGCTGCATCTTCTCGAACGGGATGGTCAGGCGAGGCTCGTCGTTTAGGTTGATGGCGAAATCCATGTCGGGCAAGTGCTCGGCAAAGTCGCTAATCATGTCCTGCATCGAGCGCATCATCCACATATGCGTTCCCGGTGCCCCGGGCGCAACCTCAACCTTACCACCGCGGATCCGGATACCTCCCATACCGAGCCACGGTATCTCCAGCATATGCTTCGTCCGCTGCCGTAGGACATCCGGCGCGACGCCCCAGAAAGTTAACATATCGTCGTTGATTTGCGTGAAATCGTCCATGATGGGCGAGCCGCTGGCCACCGCATACTCGAACCACTTGTCGAAGTTGGGGGGCGGGGCAAGACCGTAGTGGCGACGGTACTCACCCACAGCATCCTCGATAGTCCTGCTCTGGTTTGCTCCGGCAACCCAAGCGTCAGACTCGGCGCTGGCGACGGAAAGCAGATCCCGGAAGGAGAGAACGTCGGAGGATGCCAAGTCCGGGTAGAAGATGAGGTAGGTGCCGCATAGGAAGCCGACGAGAACGACGTACCACCCCGTAAGGAATCGCGTCAGGCGTGGATCCCCCGACGGTGCGCCGGTGAGGTCCGTTTCATGGCGCAACAATAGACCAACGCCGGCTATTGTAAGACCACCTGCAATCATGTAGGGTAAGGAGTCGTCCGCCGGCGCGGCAATCTGCAACATGCGGAAGAGCTGATGAGCGTATACCCCTGAGGCCGTGACAATCATCGCCAGCGTGCTGGGATGTATGTCGCTCATGACATATAACGCCGAGATGATGGCGAGCGAGGCCACAGTGCTGTCCACCAAGAGATCTCGAACAGCGACATGATGTAGTTGGAAAGCCCATCGAACATTCCGGGGGTGGTGAAGCGAGAAAGTCGCAAACACAGCCAACACGGCCGCAGATCCCAGGAAGAGACGTGATGGGAAAGCCCAAGCCTGGGGCGCGTCGTCCATCGTATCTTGACGCCATCTGGAAAGGCAGATTACTAGTAGCGCATCCAGAAGGACGGTCAATACCTGTGCGAGTGGGATCTGCCTTTCCCACCGGACGAAACCTGCTGGGCAGACTGCGCCGGCGGATTGCGTCGATAATGCGAGAGTGGCCCTGGCGGCGCAGGCCCAAACAATGGCGATGACGATATAGCGTGCGGTGCCTGGTTTGAAGCGGCATCGGGATCGTGGTTGCTCGTGGTTGTGTCGCTGTAGTTGAATCGCAGTAGGGGTTGCCATTGTGTATATAGCGATCAGGGCCGGCAAGAACGTCTGCATACCATGTTTAATACCGACCCACCATATATATCAATGTTTCTAGGCCATGCAAGATTCTCGTGTACGCACCTCGAAGCTCTCCCACGAGCAATGGATCGTGCCAATCGTGAGCCAGAAAAGGAGCGAGCGCAGGACGATGGCACTTCCTAGAAGGAAAGAGGGCGAAGACAAAAAACGACAGACTCTCGCAGCATCAATACCCACTCGGAGTCGTCTTGGCACATCGTATTGAGAGGTCGAAAGGGTTGCGAGTTGGTATCCCTGGCTGTCGTGGGCTGAGTTGTTCCATGGTGACGGCCGCCAGCCAATAATTGTGATGAGGGTACCGGATTCAAGGAGAGTCAGGAGAGAGAAGTGTATGGGCCTCTCAAAGGCCGCGCTGCTGTTGAACCGCCAGGATATCCAGGCGGTGCAGGCAAGAAGCAGGAAGCTGTGAGCGACTCGACAGTCAGCAAGGACTGTAGCACAGCAGCCAGGTTCTGTCCGGCATGATCAGGGCTGATCTATAGGGACTCGGTATAATCGACTGAACAAGGCCAAAAGTGAAGCCATTGGTCCAATAATCTTTTGGCGATGATGTCCGAGTCTGCATGGAAGAAGCAAGGAATGCGGGCGTTTACTCACCATGCCGCTAAGATGCCGTGTTTCTCCAGCGGGGCCGCCATCGGTCTCGACGACTCTTGTGGACAGGCTTGGCACGCGGAGATCGAGGGACGGATGCGAAACAGCCAAACGAAACGCAACCAAGATCCGCCGGTAGGTAGATCGAGGAAAGCAAAGTAAAGCAAAGAAAAACAGAGCAGAAGGCAACCGTGGAGGGAATAAACGAGGGCTTCACAAGGCTATCGCATCCACTAGACCATGATATAGCTGCTTCTCCTCACCTTTCTTTGGAAAAGTCAGACGGAACAGCAGGGGAACAAGGCAACAAGGCAGACCGGTAGATAGTTTAGAGAGGTACGATAAGAAGTCCGAGCTAAGCAAACAAGAGTAAGACGCAAGACGAAGGGGATGGGGACATGGAGGCCAAGAATAATAGCTTAACGGTTACTACTGCTAGCGTACGCCCCATCCACATGATGTTAGTTGTTGGTGTAGCAGCGGACCTTTTCCTTGGTACCAGTCAGACCCCAGTAAAGAAGCACATGCGACCAGCAAGCCCCCCAGTGATGGCATACCGGTATTTAAAGAAAGCGAGCCGCGGTTGCGGGTTGAGCCTCTACCTTGGTGTAAGTATGACTGACTAGATAATGTGAGGGACAAATTAAGAATGATGTAGGGGGTGTAGCATTCTGCCGTCATCGCGCCGGACTGCCGCTCCACAGATATTCGTTGCCTGGTCCTTGCTTCGTTCGCAATACGAAGTATGTACGGATATGTAGAAGGGATCTATACAAGACAAGAGACAAGACAGGTCAGGCCAGACGACTCCATCCGGGTTGTAAAAATGCTCGGAAACATGGCGCGGAATTCTTGTCGAATACCGGGATCGATGCGGCTTGCTGCCCTCGGGTTGCTGAGGGCAGTTTTCTGAACCCAACTAGAGAAGAGAAGACAATACGGAGACAGAATGAAAGAAAAGAGGGACGAAAAAGACGACTGTCGTCATGTGCCAACTTTTGCGGGCTGTGGAGCTAGGGCCCGCCCCTCTTGGTGCTCCAAGGGCGTGAAAATACGGGCACCAACCATACTTGTGAAAAGGGGAGACGAGCTCCGAGTGTGTGTATCTACACTGCTTGTGTTGGTGCCTGGAATTAGTAGCGGCTGTGTTTACTCCGTATGTGGGTAAGATATGAAAAGAGAGAAAAAAAACAGTAAGAATAGTAGCGTCCATAATACAAATGCGACAAGCGCCTCGCTCATGGACGATCGATGCTTACCGCTCCGGAACGATCCCCGTCCATCCAGATATTTCGATGTGCAAACCACAGTGGACCTGGTCTGTTTGGAGTGGGCATGTCATTGAAAACAAAACAAAAACATTGCCGGCATGAAGATGAGACGAGTGGATGGTGTTAAGATGAAGGCCATTTGATGTGAGCGTCCGAAGATGAGGTTTGCGCGTTCTGTCGCGTGGCACAGACGGACAGGGGCACTCGCGGCCAGCCACATCCAAAGTTGACTTTACCGTTTGCAGTGTAGAGAAGGCGTTAGTTAAAGTGCGCCGCTGTTTCGCGTCTATTTATGCGCCCGAGGGGGGAGATTAATTAGTCCTCGCCGCCATCAGCCAGGTCCCTTGGCTTACCTAATAGGGCGAATGGCCTCACATCGCCTCGGTTTGGGCTCTCCGCGTCGGCAAGTCATCCGCCCAACAGGCACCAAACGCCATGAGCAACCAGAGAGAATCCGACGAGATCTGCCCCGACAATCAAATCTTCCAAGTCAACAGCAGTCGTAGGGAAAAATCCTCAATCTGGCAGACATGTGCGGAGCGATGCGTTGCGGGACTCTCTCATATGACACTGCCATTGATTCATCCAGCCCAAGATTGGTCCCCTTTTCTATGGTATTGACTTTTTGTCTTTCACTTTTCCTCGTCAACATAAGAATACGACTTTTCTCCCCCTTCTACTTGACCTCCGAATCCTGTCCGGGAACCCTTCCTGTGCTGCTGTCATCGCTGTGTCTTGAATTAAGCACGCTCCCGTCTTCTGGGGGCCGCACGAATAATGTCGTCTACACGGAGAAGAAGCTACTCAAAGTTAGTCACCCATCCCACATATCGACGCCGATAGGCATGCTGGAGTCTGAACGTACCTCTGCTGCCTCACTGGCAGACGAGACAACCGCTCTCTTCAACTTGTAGCTCTCAACGACGCCCAAATCACGCATGTCGGTGATGCCGCCACCGGGCGTCAGGAGGTCCAACCCGTAGTTCGTCATGCCATCATAGATGGCCTTCCTCAGACGTGCGACAAGCTCACCCGAGTCAAGGCCGGCGTTGTCGGCCAGGATCGTGGGCAGCTGGCGCAGCGCAACCGCAAAGCTGCTGACGGCCATCTGCTTCTTGCCCTCAACGCGAGTGGCAGCACCCTCGACGGCCTTGGCCATGACCATCTCGGCACATCCACCACCCAGGGTCGTCCACGGCTCCTTCACCGTCTGTGAGAGAACGGCCAGGGCGTCGTGCAGACTGCGCTCCGCCTCGTCCAAGAGCTGATCCGTGGCACCGCGCAGCACAATCGTGCAGGCCTCGCCCGCGGCAACACCGGAGAACTTGATCAGGGTGTCTTCGCCGATAATGACTTCCTCGATCAGGTCGCACTGTCCCAGCTTCACCTGGTCGGGGTGGTCGAAGGTCGAGGCGATCTCACCGCCCGTCACCAGAGCCAGCCTCTCAATGCCATCGAAGTCGGCGTGCTCGATGGACATGATACCCGCGTCCGTAAAGAGCTGCTCGGGCCAGTTGTAGATGAGTTGTCTGTTGATGAAGCAGTTGATGCCGTGCGCCTTGATCTTCTCCACCTTGGCCTTCATCTTCTCCTTCTCCGCCTTCTCGAGGTCGGCCAGCTTACTAGTCGTTCCCACCTTGACGCGGGCACCAAAGATCTTGATTTTGTCCGTGTCCATCGATGTGTTCGCCACCAGTATCTTGGCCTTCTCCAGACGCTTGGGCTGGTTGACGCCAATCTTCTTGTCCAGGATGAAGCCCTTATCGAGGTACGAGTCGCTCAGCTTGCCGCCAGCCTTCTTGATGATCTGGATGTGGCTTAGGTCGGACGAGTTCTTGAGACGCAGGACGGCATCGCAGGCGAGCTTGGAGAAGTGGTCGCGGTCCTGGGCCAGAACTTTGGAGCTGAGGGTTGTGCGGGCGATGGCCGCCAAGTCTTTCCTGAAAGCCTCGGGGCTGTTACTGCGGTCGACGGCAGACTCCTTGAGGGCCTTGAGGGCGGCCTGGCTGGCTATCCGGTAACCCTCGATGATGGTCTGGGGGTGGATCTTCTTGTCGACAAGCTTCTCGGCTTCACGGAGTAGCTCCGCGGCAAGGACAGCTACCGATGTGGTGCCGTCACCGACCTCGTCATCCTGGACCTTGGAGATGTTGACCAAAACCTTGGCGGCCGCGTTGTCGAGGGCAATAGACTTCAGGATGGTGGCACCGTCGTTCGTGACCATGATCTCACCGGTCGAACTGGATGTTTGTCAGCGACAGCTATGGCTGCGGATCGAAGTGGGATGGAGTATCGGTAGGCGGGGGTGGGGAGGGTTCAACATACGCAGACTGGAGAATCTTGTCCATACCCTTGGGACCGAGGGTGCTCTTGACGAGGTCGCCAACGGCAATGGCGCCAACGAAAGCGGAGAGACGGGCATTTTCTCCCTTCTCCTCCGTGGTTCCATCCTCAAAGATTTGTGTCGGGCTGAAGGACGACTGGAGGGGCATACTGGGTTAGTGACGCATGTCAGAGAGACGGAAGGGGATAGCATCTGCGGTGAAGACGAACCATGGCGAATGTGGTGATAATCAGACACTCTGCTGCGAGATCGAGACGGTGACTGAAATCGGGTGTGGGGTGGGGGAAGCAAAGGTTGGTTTGTACGGATTCCTCAGCCTTGGGGAAGCTTCACCGAGAAAATCGTCGTCGAAAATTTGGGGGGGTTCAGCCTGGTGAAGTGGGGTGCTGCTGGGCAGGAGCTTCCAGGCAGTGTTGATTAGCGAAGCAAAGCTGCTGTAGTGATTCCAGAGACGTCCATCCTCCACTGTAGAGGCTACATGTGGCCAGTGCACGTCGGGCAAAGCAGGCGGGACGTACCTATTTGTACACTACCCAAGTAATTACCTGGGCAGTGGGCAGGTACTGAAGGAGCTTCCTTCCCCTAGGCGGTGAGCGGATACTCTCTCCGCCGTCAAAACGGTTCCCCTGGCAGAATCACCATCCCACGTGACTCTAACCAGCCCAGGGAGCGAGGGGCTTTTATCGCGGCCTCGGAGCCGGAACAATGCAATGTTCCAGCCCACACGAATGCCAGTTAACCACCGAAAACTTTCCAAATCGACGCCCTAATTGTGCGCGCGATAGTTGTTTGGTCCCCTCCCACCCCCGGTTATCTCCCCCCCCGTAACGAGTCGCATTTCTAGTTGTCAAGACAGTTACTGGCCACCTACATCTTCAGAGCCTGCTCGTGTTTTTTGCACCGATCTTGTCCTCTAAAAGAAAAGGCCCTGCAATCTATAGCCAGCCCAAGAGCGCTCTGCTGCCAGGAAACCCTCATAAAAACCCCGAAAAAATCGCGGGGCACTTTTTCCACCCAAAGAAAGCCACCCGGACCCCACCCCTACAGGCACCTCTTTTTTTCCCACCACAGAAGGGCCATCGTAAAACGCATTTCTCACCGAGAGACACACACCCCCTCCCACCCCCTGCCGAAGGAAATAAGAAGAAAAAAAAAATCACGAGCAGCCCGCCAACGCACTTCGACTGTTCTCCTTGATCGGCCGTCGCAATCATGGCGCCTTCTTTCGACCATCTGCGCGAGGCAGATCTCGACGACGAGGAGTACGACGAGGAGGAGATTGATATCTCCGACCTGCGCGAGAAGTACGAGGTTCAGCTGGAACAAGGATACGACACCTTCGTGGTTATCGATGGCCTCCCCGAAGTCAACGAGGAGCAGAAGCCCAAGCTGGTCAAGTTCTTGTTGAAGAAGTTGAACTCGGTTGGAAAGACAAGAGAGGACCTGATTTACATGCCCATGGGTGAGAATGGAAAGTCGCTGAGGTATGTGTGGCCCAGTGGATCCGATCCTGGATGAGGAACCGGATCAAGATCTAGATCTAGATCCAGATCTGCTCCGGTTCCTGGTCGCATAGCAACAGAAAAAGGGTTGTACTGACTGATGGTAGATTTGCCTTTGTCGAGTACTCGTCTCCCGGCGAGGCTGCTGCCGCTGTTCGCGGACTCGACCAGGTCCCTCTCGACAAGAAGCACACCCTCCGCGTTAACAAGCTCACCGATATCGACCGCTACGGCCGCGAAGGCAAGGTCCAGGAGGAGTACACGCCGCCCTACATTGAGGAGTTCACCGAGAAGGAGCACCTGAGATCATTCATGAAGGACCCCAGCGGCCGTGGCAGAGACCAGTTCGTCATGTACCGTGGCGACACCGTCGGCGTCTTCTGGAACAACGAGAAGGACGTGCCCGAGAACATCGTTGACCGCCAGAACTGGACAGACAGCTTCGTCCGGTGGTCTCCCCAGGGAACCTACCTCACCTCGGTCCACGCCCAAGGTGTTCAGATTTGGGGCGGTGCCTCATGGTCACGGCAGAGACGTTTCCCCCACCCCTTTGTCACCTTCTGCGACTGGTCCCCCTCCGAGAAGTACCTGGTGACATGGTCTAACCGCCCCATCTCCATCCCTGACGAGGGTCACCCGGCCTTGTCCGTCGACGACGATGGCAAGAACTATGTCATCTGGAGCGTCGAGTCCGGCAAGCCCATCCGTTCCTTCGCCAACCTCGACATGCCCGACTTGGACGAGGCCAAGCAGCGTAAGCTTCTCTGGCCCGCCTTCAAGTGGTCCGCCGACGACAACTACGTCGCTCGCCTCAACTATCAGACTGGTATCTCCGTCTACGAGCTGCCCCGCATGAACCTCCTCGACAAGACCTCAATCAAGATCGAGGGCATCATGGAGTTCGACTGGGCCCCCGCCACCCCGCAAAGAGAAGGAGTCAAGACGTACGAGCAGCTCCTCACCTACTGGACTCCCGAGATCGGCAGCAACCCCGCCAAGGTCGGTCTTATGAGCATCCCCAGCAAGGAGGTTGTCCGTCAACTGCCCCTCTTCAGCGTTTCCGACGCCAAGCTCCACTGGCAGTCCGACGCCGCGTACCTTTGCGTCAAGGTCGACCGTCACTCCAAATCCAAGAAGTCCCAGGCCACGACGCTCGAGATCTTCCGCATCAAGGAGAAGGGCGTTCCCGTCGAGGTCGTCGATACCATCAAGGACACAGTCATCAACTTCGCCTGGGAGCCCAAGGGCGACCGCTTCGTCATCATCACGACGACGGAGCCCGCCGGCGCCGTCGCCGTCGCGCCCAAGACCTCTGTCGCCTTCTTCTGCCCCGAGAAGGCCAAGGGCAACACCGTCGGCAACTTCAAGCATCTGCGCACCCTGGACAAGAAGAACAGCAACGCCATCTACTGGTCCCCGCGCGGCCGCTTCGTCGTCATCGCCACCGTCCACAACCAGCAGAGCTCCGACCTCGACTTCTTCGACCTCGACTTCGAGGGTGAGAAGCCCGAGTCCGACAAGGACCTGACGGCCAACCTGCAGCTCATGAACACGGGCGACCACTACGGCGTTACCGACATTGAGTGGGACCCCTCAGGACGATTCGTCGCCACCTGGGCCTCCGCTTGGAAGCACTCTGTACGTTGAACGCCTCCCCCCACCCCCTCCAAACCATAACCATGCCCGACTGATGCTGACCCAAACCAACAGATGGAGAATGGATACCACATCTACGACTTCAAGGGCGAGGCGCTGCGCGAGGAGGCTGTCGAGAAGTTCAAGCAGTGGGCCTGGCGCCCGCGTCCCCCCACGCTGCTCTCCAAGGAGGAGCAGAAGCAGATCCGCAAGAACCTGCGCGAGTACAGCCGCGTCTTCGAGCAGGAGGACATGGACCGCGGTGCCTCGGCCGACCGCGAGGTCGTCGAGGCCCGCCGCCGCCAGCTTGCCGAGTGGGTCGCGTGGCGCGAGGACATCGAGGCCGAGGCCGCCGAGGAGCGCAAGGAGCTCGGCCTGCCCCAGGACATTGTCGCCTACCTCCTCTCCAAGAAGACGGCGGCCAGCGAAGGCGAAGAGCAGGTCATTGAGGAGATTGTCGAGGAGGTCCTCGAGGAGTCGGAAGAGGTTATCAACTAGAGGTAGACTGCAGTCGTGTGCGTGCGTGGTCGTGTGTATGTGTGTAGACGAGGTCACAACAGCCGCAGCAGCAGCAGAAGCAGCACTTTAAGCAGTCGCAGTTCCTGGAAGAAAACGCAGATGACGGGCAGGAGTGAAAGAGAAAAAGAAAAGGCATCAAGGGGGCCCGCTAGAAGCTCTCCCCAGTTCGCACATTGTTTGTTTATTGGGGGGCGATCGGGCGAGGGTTGGGCATTTCGCAGGAGGTTTAATTCATGGACTTGAAGACATTATCCGTTCTCAGCGCGTACGTACGTGATGCGTTTACATGCCGAGCAGCGTTCGCGTGTTTCTCTCCTCTCCGGTTTTCTCTCCAGCCTTGCGTCTTGGCCACGCAAGATCCGTCAACATGCATCTGAGGGAAGGATACATGTCACTCACACACGTTAGGTTGAAAGGTTGGCACAAAGTGTATTCTTTCTTCTACAGTACGACTATGATTTGAAGGGAATACGGAACGAGGTGATCTACACCGTTAGATGTACGAGCCCCGCCCGGCTGGTAGCAAGATTCGGAACGTACAAATGCGGGTCGCAAGCGACGACAAAAAGAAAATATCGCGGCCGAAACCAATCGCTTGTGTTTCGGTGATGATGACAAAAGAGCTCCATACAAATGCATATGTTCCTTGATCCAGGACATCTATTGCCCTGGAAAACATGTTTGCTTTACTCTCCTCACTAGATATGGGGCAGTCCATGTTCCGCATGGACGAGACCCTCGCGTCCAGAGGTGGTAATCTATCTGTAGTCCAAAGCGCTACTTAAGAACGAATGGCTCGCGTCCCAGGATGCCCGCGCACTGCGAACCATCCGGGCAGACGGGCAAAAGAAGTATAAACCCGTGCAAAGCAAGTCCAACAAAGAAAGGAACATGCTACAAAACCAGCTCCCACAAATGCCCATCACGCCACAGACGCCGGTTCCCTTTTTACATGCCTATCGATCGATAGCCCAAAGCCGTCGACGCCGATTGGAGTTTGGTGATATTTTGTTTTTCCGTGTATGTGTGGATCCTCCGATGGAAAGGGCCGGTAGCATACCAGCCCAGGAGATTAGATATAAACAGTTAGGATCATGACGTATGTTCCGAAAGCCGAAGTGTTCATCAAGCGTAAAGGTGTGGTTGGGATGAGGGTTCATCAGGAAGACTCAAGCCTTGCCCGCTTCCCTAACAGCTCGCATCCAGCGGTCTTCCGCGCCGTCGTCTCCGACGACGGCCTTACGGCCATCCTTGTTAGCGCCGCCTTCAATCATCTTCTTGGCTTCTCCAGCGGACCTGACGCCGAGGAGCGCCATCTCATTCCGCATGAGGATGGCGACAGCCGCCCGCACCATCACCGCGTCACCCTCAAAGACGTACACATCCCACAGCCGGGCTGCCTCATCCATGGCCAGGTGAGTTGTGCCCAGCCCCATGAAGAAGTTGCCCAAGTAGAAATCTGCGTCACCTGCGGAGATGTCCTTTGTCAGGT